GGCAAAGGACATATAGACGCGGGGCGCTCTGGCCATAAGAAGACGGATGTCCCTGTAAACCGTAACTTATATGGCGATTTTGATGGATCGGCAGACCAACGCACTGGCGAGGGTCATGGCCGGAACAAAGGGGATACAAATGTAACTAGTCCTCATAAGAGTAATGCAAAGTCTGATCCACCCGGGGAGAATGATTTGCGCCATGGCTTAGAGCAAAGGAGGGAGAGAGAGCTTAGGAACAAACTTTTTGATCAGCAACATGGCCATGCTACAAATGAACGAGAACGGCAACGAAAGGGCAAGGATGATGTGCATCACGGTTATGATCAGCAGGAGATATATAACAGGGAGGACCGAGATTGGGGCACTGGCTCCAGGGCTCGGGATCCCAGAGACAAGAGAAGGGGTACGTATGTGAGAAAGCCGCACCCTGAATATGAGTATGACTGTCATTATAGGAGCAACCCAAGGGTGGATTAGGAGAGTAGAAAGAGAGGACCGAGGTAGATTTGGGTGGCCAAGGATGATCCAGACAGACAGACATCAAGTGATGCGTTCATTCACGATACGAGGCGCAAGACGCCGACACTGTTTGATCGTATTTCTGTGAACAACAATGTGGCGGACCCCGCGGAGCGGGGCCGCCGGTCACCATGAATCTGTTGGCCTGGAACTGTCGAGGATTGGGGTTGACCTCGACAGTTGGCGGACTTCGGGACCTGATTAGTTCGCACAACCCAGTGGTGGTATTTCTATGTGAAACAAAAATAGAAAGCAAGGGCGATGGAGAAGTTGAAGTGGAGTCTCGGGTTTAAGAGTGGTGTAGCGGTGGACTGTGTGGGACGAAGTGGAGGACTCGCCTTGTGGTGGAGAGATCATATTAATGTAACGGTGACACCTTGGTGCCAATATTTCATTGATGCAGAGTTATCTTGGGAGGTCAAGACATGTAGATTCACTAGATTCTACGGTGAGTCCAAGACCGAGCTTCGCAAAAAATCATGGGATGCCATAAGATATCTCGCGAGTCAAGATAACCTGCCGTGGTTATGTGCGGGGGACTATAATGAGGCCCTCTTCCAGATGGATCAAATAGGCGGGAACCAGAGGAGTTTCAATCAGATGGAAGACTTTCGTGATTGTCTGGCAGAGAGCAGGCTGGCTGATTTGGGCTTCTCGGGATACCCATACACATGGGATAACAAAAGAGACAGAGGGGAGAACATCCAGGTAAGACTAGATCGAGCCACATGCAATGATACATTCCTCGAGCTATTCCCGGAGACGTCGGTGGAGCATATCATCACAGAGGAGTCCGATCATCAAGCAATCCTTGTGAGGGCGATGGAGACAGCTCCACGTCGCCTTGAACGAGGGGATAGACCTTTTAGGTTTGAGGAGGCATGGACGAGACATGAGAAATACAA